GCATGTCTTATCGATTTTGTATTCACTTAACTACGTCTGTCTTTCGTTTCATCCATCAATAAGATCAACGGCAACACTATTGGACTTGTTACGAAGCTTACTTAAAGTTTGACGATAATAAGGATTGCATAAGTTATTTATTTTAGATGATTTTCATTTCTCTCGAGAGAGAGAGGTGCTCTACGTTGCTTTATGTACTAAATTATTCGACATACTCTTTGAATAATGCATATGTCGATTAAATAATATCTGTGATGTTACTTAATAGCAATATCTGTGATCTTGGATTTGCGACTGACGTAAATTTAACTAATTCCCTTATAGAACCTTAACCGCCCAAGGACTAGGCGCATCATCCCTACTTACTCCTTACTTGTTAAATAGTTTGTTTAATGATAGCCTTAGTATGTGTGGTCTTTTAGTATTACTTCTAATATTACTCTTAATTTCAAGAAAATAGATAATGATATGCTTAGTAACTTGCTCTCTGTGTTTGTCTGAAATCTTCATTATGTGTCATGATGTCGATAAGTCGCTGCCAGTTATTTCGAACATACTTTCTGATGGTTTACATGCGTTACTCCTTTTGGCAAATTCAATTCTATTATGCCCAGATATGCAGTCAGAGCTGATTAGGATGCAAAAAGAAAAAGAAAAAGAAATTTAAATGCATTGACAAACATTTATTATTCTAACCGGGACTTTAGATCACTGAAGAAAATGTTTTATAGTAATTATCTGCATAATAAGAAGGAGCAATTGCTAACTCCTCCCAAAAAAAGTCGCAATCTTGCATTTTATGATGCACGTTATGAAGTTTAAAAATCTTCAAATGCGAGAGAGATCGCAAACTTCTTGCTGAGTTCTTTGCGAAATCATGCTACTGCTCTCATGAAAAAGTCGCTTTCTTCTTTTTTGCGTGATGTTGCTTCGAAACATCTGCGTTTGATTTTTTCTTCCTCATACTCTATGTTTTTGGAAGCTTTCTGACATGGAGTGTTGCTTTACATCAGGTCGCATCAAATCGTGGCCCTGCCTCTGAGCGAATCATTACTTGTTGGCTTTGCGAGCGTTATTGTCCTGCAGGCGCCACTAGTTGTACTGCAGACGAAGTTCTTGATCCTTCGAAAGGATTACGTTCGTAATGTCCTGAGCGTAAAAAATGGGGGAGAGTGACTTTTATGACCTTTTAACAGAGACAAGGAATAGTTTTTCTGAATTACATAAAAATCTCCTGACGTTATGCGTAAATCGATGAAAATGATGGTTCATTGAACCATCTTGAACTAGTGTTTTAAATCCCATTTCCTCGGACAAGCATTACGATTTGAATAAAACCAATAGCTTATGCCGCTTAAATCTCATCCTTCTCTGCTGGAAATATTCAAACTCTTCTATTGTCGTTCTATATATATGTCGCTGGCTACTTCTGCATCCGTCCCGATTAGGAATTTGGGTTGGGACCCGCTTATCTTTTTGCTTCTGTTATCCTTACCGTTACTTGAGAAACGTAGATTTACTCTTGGTGTTTCCTTCCTAATTAGGTTAATTAATGTTATCATCGATTCGTTCACATCACTTGGTGCTTTAAGCTTCAATGTCCCTAAACGCATCTCTAGGCACTTTATTTTCATTATGCTGAGTCAATGTGCATACAATTATGAGATGTTTAACCCGATCAGAGTTGTTTGCCGTAACCTAAATGATGTCTGTCACTTAAACTCAATATCGGGTTCTTCAAAGTCTATCAAAACAACTATGCTTGATATGCGCGATTATTTAAACTAACTTGCAATCTTAACAACTTACTATGATTCGAAAATGAACAAAGATGTTGTTCGCTGTTATCGACTGCCAAGCTGTTGCATGTTTGCCATGGGTTAAGCGTTCACTTGCAACATGGTTCTGTACTGATTTTGGGTGTGTCTCTGCACTAGTCGTGTACATGCTTTTGTTCTTTTTTATTTATACACAATTTATTATTTAATTATTATTATTATTATTTTTTTTTTTTTTTTTTCTTTACTTCTTATCCACTTTACACTAGTTTTTAATAATAATTAGAATAAAATTTACTTCTAAGCGACAGCTGAATTCGGCTGTTAGTTTATTTTAGCTAAGTTTCTAGCATAAATAAAAAAATATATCTTCTGGTCGTTAGTATAAAAACTTATTTTAATATGAATTATTATTATTATGATTATCATGATTATTATTATTATTATTATTATTATTATTATTATTATTAATATAATTAAAATATTATACATTGCATTTAATGCAGGGATATTACATTTTTTTGTTTGCATATGATTTAAACTTATTCAACCGTACGTAAATAGTTATTCAAACATGAATTTAATATATGCCTTTTGTATATAACTGAGCATTTCTATATTATACGGGTTTTATTAACAGCTGGTTACAATGTTTCCACTATGCACAAATTTCAAAAATTAATTTACCGTTAAATTAAAATTCTCTTTAATGATAATCAAATCCCTTTATGACTGACTAACATAATTAACAACGATTTGCTTTTTTAAATGCATATTTTTCAAATAACTACTTACTACATACATTCAGACTAAATCGCATTCGATTTACGTAATGTTTTAATTTTGATAACTAACTAACTTACAAATTGCCCAAAACTTTATTGCTCGAAATCCAAAATGGAAATATTCGCATATGTACAAAATTGGTGTCCTAACAGATTCTGAAGTGACACTTGGAAGACGGTTGTCTGTTTTGAAGGTCGCGAACTCGATTCGCAATCCGTTTGTCAATCCAGTATTCAAAATGTTACTCCATAATCTTCTATCGTCTACCCACTGGCAACACAATTTTGTTACCATCAAGTTTTTGCAATTTTGCATTATATACATATACCTGGCACATGATCTTCGTCGAAACTGACTTCGAGCAAGACGATATAGCAACTTTTTGAATCGTTGCTTTAAAGCCTTGTAAGTACTAAAGTCTCACGACAAGTGTCCGTTTCGACCCCAAATGAGTTTACTCTATTTTTACGCATCGCTATCTTGTCCTATATATATTCATAGTACTAGTTAGGTGTAAGTTTAAGTTATTTTTATATATATTGTTAACCTTTCTCATGTATTTATTACTTATTAAAAATTCCAGGGGTAGAGTTATTTACTTTATATTTCTAATAAGAATCGGAATGGAATATACACAGGTTTTCATATTCGAAGTAAGTCAGATGAAGTACGTCAAAGGCGATCAATGAACCGATTGGCAACGCCATTTTAATTTTAGAAAGACCTATAGAAGCGAAGAAGAATAGATAACCTCCTCCTTTTGCATCGAATCATTATTAGTGCAACATTGCCGATTAACAGATAATAAGCATCCATAAGCATCCAAGTGGAGCAGATCTCTTATGCAAATCCGTTAGGAAATAGCTCGGTTTAACCCAGTGACCGAGACGTTTGACTTTCCGCACCATATTGATCTAGAATTCCATAAGAAATATGGCTAACACTGGAGAAAATCGCTCGGTAAGGTGTAAGATACTGACAAGATTGATGGTTTGTGAACTCGATTATCTTATTTTCAATGTATTTATTGTGATATAGGTATGAGCATACTGCTAGGGAAATATTGTTAAAAAAACATATATCACTGGATAATTGAATAAAAGTCACGCTGACAAGTCCAAAAGTGAATTGATACGAAAAATTCGTATATCTCTCTCTGTTCTTTGAATAGTAGCCAATCACTAAGCTACAACTTAGTTACTTCGTATCGTGTAGTTTCCGAACGCCTGGAATAGTCGCTGAGCTCAAGCCCAAGTGATAGCGGGAAGTAAAACAATCTTTCCGACAGGGGCAATGTTTGCAACCTAATAAAGAAGTTTTCAAGATGCGTTCTCCCGATGCCACCATAGTACATGACGCGCTTCCTATTGATAAATTGTTTATTAAACGTAAAGTTGTCTATAAACAGTCAAAGCTTCGAGTTTAATACGACACGGCAAAATGAGCACGCGCTAAGCGAACCTTTTTTCAAATCATTAAACTGTGAATAATGATCACGTGATCGTGGATGATATTGAACGAAGTCTAGTAGCCCCCCTTAAAAGTTGAAATTTTTGTTCGCATATAAGTTTTCCGATCCGCAATTCGCTTCATTTCGAACATTTTTTCTGTGATTAGTCAAGCATTGCAAAATGATTTGTTTGTATGAGTTTGTTAAAAACTTCGATAACTTATTATGATCCATCGTTCACAACTTTGCAATATTCCCTTTTTCATATGCTTATAAAATACCACAGTTCCCCTTTGATTTTGAACGAAGAAAAGAAAACGTATAGCAGTAGATTTTGCATGACTGAATAAACCGTTCGAGTCAAGGACTCGTTATCCAAAAATAAACGAGCAATTTCGGTGAATAATTTACATCGATAATGATAATGAAATGAAGCCATATAATGAAGCCTATATAATGTGCAAAATGCCAATGGTTAAAGAGACGAGTTGCCAGATGTAACATATTCATTTATTCATCCATTCATCCATTCATCCGTTTGTCCATCTATCCAGGAAATTAATGTATGTGTGAGCAAACATTCTTGCTTCTCGAACAACCCAATGATATATATGATGATAAAATATTTCGCAACCTATAACAGCAGCTGTCACAACTTGTACATGTATGCAAAACAAATGTGTACATATTCACTATGCCATTGCAGCAACTGTATGATGATGTTAAAGCTTAACATAATCTTTCAACTATAACATGACAATTATACAAATTGTGTACTAAAACGTATATTCACGAACATGTGCTCAATGTGCAGTAAGCACTTCTGTAGGCAGCAGGTGAAGCAAAATACATAAAAACTCACGAATATGATTCTCTAATAGACTTTTTTCATTTTTTAAAGGCATATTGAATGATATGCATTTTATAATAAATGTAAATAAATAATTTTTTTATGTAAGAAAAATGATATGAGAAAATTTACTTACCTCTGCGGGAAATGTATAACCGTCGACACTGTGCTCGGAGCCAAATTGATCGTGTAGCCCGTAATGAATGTGTATTTCATGGAATCTATATCTATAGGAAAATGGACCTCCGGTTATATTTACCGGTGTCTGCATGCCATCATAATTGGCGACTGTATCATTTCCAGCTGTGAATATAACACTATGACCGGTATTCGCTATCAAGCCACTTATCTAAAAATTGATGAATTGATGAAAAAGCAAAAAAGAGTAAAATAATTTCGCAAAAAACCTTACTCTATGTTTATCTATGTGTAACTGTCGTAAATTAGGATCGAAAAGTAAACGCTGAGGTTCCAAGTTAACGGGAGATTGTCGTCGCCCTTTATTACATAGTGACCATTCTGGATTGATAAGTCCCCAAAAAGCAGGTCCTATAAAGAAAATTTACAAATATATATATTTTTTATTTTTTATTTTTTTTTATTTTTTTGTTTAATCCGCTCTATAACAATACAATACGATTTCACAGATATATATACATATCTATATATTTTAATTGATTTGTAACCAAGTTGATGATAAAACACGTTCCGTAGTTTTAAGAGGGCAACAAAATTAGAGCAAATGTTCATGACCTCAATAAATTGGCGAATTTTTCCTTATTTTTATATCTACCGTAACAATTCCTTTAAGGGTTATTCACTTTGTCATTCCGTCCGCTACATGTTTATTACCTCTTGGTGGGAGGGGGAAAAAAGAGAATACGTATAACTTTAATAATTCGTTCATAGTTTTAGTTAATTCGCAATCGATTTCAAGTTCTTTCGACTCCTGTCTATCAAAGTAAGTAAATCTGTTGCCCTATTTCCTCTTCAATATGTTTAAAAATATAAGAATCAAGATATTGACGCATAAGCACTCAGCATTCATCGTAGACGATTTTCATATTTGTATTCGAAAACCGTCAACTGCTGCATGAGACACATACAAGTGTAACGGAAGAAGTGAGACCCACTTCTTTTTTTTTTTTTTTTCTTTATAAACGACCTGAGATATTTGGGTTTCTTACTAAATGTTATGTATATATATATATATATGTATATGTGCATATTAAACTTATTACTTAAGAACTGTCTTAAGCGAGGAGGTTAAGATTTCAAAATTGCAAAATTAACTTAAAGACATCAAAGTGAACGGCTGTTACAGCGATGGTGGGTATCAAACGGATCGGCTAAAGCTAACAATAACCTATACATTGCTATTTCTGTTCTTGATTTTTCTTTGCATTATACTTTAACAATGTACTGCATGCATATTCAAAGTATTTTGATTTTTATCGCTCTTCCGTTAAAAACTCAGACTCGTTTCTTTTTATTGTTGTTATGTATGTAGTTTAACCTCCTGACCTGAAGGCCAATTAAACCTTTTAAATAGAAAGAGGAAATGTAACAAATTTGCTACAAAGCGATAGAAAAGCGTTTTAGTTTTTATTTAGGAGAATATACTCATAAAAATAATAAAAGAAAAAAAAAAAACAAACTCTTCATACGAAATACATTCGTTATACGCGTAAAACGTAAGCTGTGATTGCGACTTTTGAAAAAAATAACTAGGCCGTCCTTAGTTTATTGGATTGATAGGAGAAGAGTCTTAGTCATCTGTCTCCTTGTTTATCCCTCTTTCTTTTCGCTTAGTTTAGTTTTTCTTTTTCTTCATTATATTTATATGAAGTACGTATAGACCGAAAAATAGGAAAGGATTATATTTAAAAAATATTGTCGTAAACGGGAAAAAAAAGAAGAAAACTATCCAACTTATATGGTCGTCATATTCATCTCTAACATGAGTACCATACTTGAAAGTGCAAGGCGGAGTGGAAGTACATTTGCCTGGCATGCTGCAGGCATTATATCTGAATGACTTCTTCGAAAACATTTCAAATCGTTAATTAAAATCAATTAAGGTTTCATTTCCTAGATATGTATTATCTGCAATGCTCCTTAAAGTAGATTCGTTTCACTAGATCATGAATTTACTCTAAGGTCGATTTTCTTCAATTTGTTTTTTTCAAGTTTTGATCGACCCCATGGCTATACATTGCCTGGAAGAAGGAGCATCTCTTGCATAGGATGCAGTAGGCGAAACGAAATGGTATCTGCTGATCACCAACAAGAACGAGTGGAACATTACATTAGAGTGTGTCGAAGTGTTCAATAATATTCGACAGTGCGAATCATGCCAAAGTCAATCAAGTTATACTTCCTCTCATTACATATTGTTTCCACAATCGTCGGTCAGAATCATTGTTACCATAGTTTATTCTCTTCTAGATGGGATGGACTTGTTTTTCGCAAAACTTATTTTTCAGGCGTTCATTCTTTCTTTCGACTCTTCTTCTCGAACATCACGGTTCAACTGTATCGGTTTGGGCAAACTTTTAGAATAGGCAACGAATGAATGGCACATTTTATGGTAATATTTTTTTAAATAATTTTCTTATCCATTGGATTTACGTTGCATTTCAAAATTTTACTTTTGAAATTTTGTTAATCGTCAGTTGCATAAAGCGCTTTTACCTTATGACAGTTGTAAATAAAGACTGGAAGAATTTCATTTGCTTTGATTATTTTCTCAACTTTTCGAGAAATTTCGCCGTAAACAGAAATAAACAACATTGACGTAGATGCTCTGAACAATTACAATATAAGCATATTCTGCATCCAATTTAGTTGATATTTAAACTATGTGGAGGGAAGACTCCGGAAGAGATAGTGGATGTGCACAAAGTGTCAAAGCAGGATTAAATCTATCTATTGCTTAAATGAAAACCGTATAAGAAAACTTTACAAATTATAACAGAAGCCGTAGACAGCCACAACTGCTTGTGCTACGTTACGTCACTTGTGACGGCATCTCTCGGCCTGAGAGAACTATTAAATTGTTAGAAGCAACCAAGCGAAAAATACAGACACCGTTGCTACTGCGAACGTTGCTCAATTTGGTTTAAGACCACAGGTTTGATTAATCGTCTCTGAAATATCGACTACATTTTTGGCAGAAGCAGTGCAACATGCATAACATACTCCTCAGTGAATTTACTAGAAGGCTGCAACTTTGTTACTAGAAGTCAAACAAAAACCATCATGTGACGTCACTAGTTTAAATGACGAAATATCCCTTAGATTTGTAGAGTTACATTTGAAGAATCTCGCCCTCATAAAAATAATAGAATGGGATCGGGCTAATAAGGTAAATTAATACCAAAAAAATATTGTGCCGTCTTTTAACGCATAGGTGAAGTGATGAACAGCCCCTTTTTAATTTGTTGGTATCAAACATATATTCGAAATATCGAAAGATTCAATCAAGGACATTGCGACCAGGATTGGGGAAAAGCCTTTGTATATTGCTTCCAAGTCCCCTAGTTGGTGTGGCAGAAGATTTAGATCGATAATGAGATGACAGAATGAGATAATCTGTACTCTTGAGCATACTCTTGGCGTAGTCTACGCTGTGTAGTACTAATGAATAGGTACATCCTAGCCAAGTGTTCTACGCAGATAAAAGAGATCAATCCAGCAATTAAGCCCTTTAACACGACTGCACGGCTTTCTCAACGCCGCCACTAGCTCGCACAGGAGTTACCTATATATCGTACGAAGCGCTGCCGCTGCTTGCCGTTCTTCAATCAAATCAATCGAAATTCTAAAGAAGTTTTATTGGAACAATTCACAATAAGCTCATATACTAGAAGTTGAATCACTTAAGTGAAAATTTAAAGTTTTTTGTTATGCGTTAAAAACTTTATTGTTTTAATATATTTATGCATAGTCAGCAATTTTTTTATTGTTTTCACCTAGAGTTGCCAAAGGCATTTTAAGTTTTTCTTTTCTTAGTCGGATGACGTTATTGATGTTGCGAAAGTCAATGCAGCGTTAAAATGTTACTTATAAGGAGAAATAATAAAAAAATCAATCAGTTTTCCTAACGCTCTCTATAGATAGAATAAAAAAAAAATAAAAAAAAAAATAAAAAAAAAAGTGAAAATTCCTTACGTTTTCCTAAAGAAAGTCATTTTAACTTTAATAAAGCATATGTAATTGCTATAGAAGACCCTGATCGATGAGTTTTCAATTGATTAGATATATGCATACGATTTTTCAGTTAGCACAGTTAACTATAATTTATAAGAGAAGATAAGAAACTCAATATAAATTTCATTCATCTGATTTACACTAATTTGCATAATTATTTTGCCACAGCTAATGCGGTGCCTTATATTGAGCATAATTTTTTCTATGCAAATTTCATCTTTCTGCTATGAAATTATGGCCGAGGGACACTGTATGGAGCGTGCGTTAAATAGGAAGATAAAGAAAACTGCCCAAATACCAATATGCTAGCGATTACTATGCTTATAATGTTACGTACTGGAAACTTCTCTTCAACTTATTGTATCCATTACAAAGGAAAATCAATCGGAAGATAATTCGAGAATAAAACATATATTTAAATGTAAGGCTGTTTGAAAATATTTTTTGTAAGAGAGATTCGTCCAAAGTCATGCGAAGCATCGGCTATCTGTCTTTTTTTGTTATTCTGTTTCTAAAAAATTTTCATTGCTGACAATACATATATCTCCCAGCGACTGCGTGATTCTTATATAAGAAAAAAATAATAAAAATAATAAAAATAATAAAAATAAATGTCGCTAACACGTAATCCCGAACAGTAAAGTCAAAGCTAAACACGTAAAGCAGCGTAAGGAGGACCGTCTAAGTGTTGAAGTAATGCATTGCCAACATTAACACAGGTACCGACATATACACATATACACGCGCAAACGCATACTTGCACTTGTAATGTGCTTTACTTAGCAATTTTACGTTAATGCTATTTTATAAAGACACTTATCTACGTATCTATGTATACGTTTAAGTATGTTCTCAATGGTCGGCATTGAGCAGAGACTGCGAATAAAATTGCATTTACTTGAAGCTTTAAGTCCCATACATTACAGATTAACAAGGTACTTAAGTAAGTGTATGTGTGTATGTGTTTATATTTTTATGTATTTGTGTATATGCATTTGTTTATGTGTATATGGGTATACATGAGTTAAGCGCATTTAATAATGTATGGCAAAAACTCACTTTAATGCCCGCCGTAGAATGTTATACGTATACCTACTTACCTACCTACCTACCTACCTATATATCTACACGATGTATATTTAATACATGCAGTTACTGTGTAACAAAAACTAGTGGTAGTAGTAGTATGCAGTAAATTTTCTGTTTTTCTCACTTACTCTTCTCTTACTTTCTAGTTTTTATATTAAATAATTTTTGTCCTTTTTTTGTGTCCACATAAAATGTGTTTTGGTTCATTAATTATTTATATAATCACTCTCCAAACAACGATTATTGTAACATAATCATTATAAAATTGTGCATACTCACACCAAAAAATAACAAAATAAATAAAAACATACACATATATACACCCTAAACGATCACTTTCCCCATTGCAAGTGACATTGGTATAATGCCGCAATGAATTTAACATGTAATACATTCGAAATTGCATTTTACTCTGTATACATTAACGCATACAAATCATGCATACCTTTACATACATAAAGGCAGTGCCATAAAAGTGTAAAAATAACAAATAAACAGACAACAAGGGAATCATCAGACACGGTTCCATCCGTGTTCAGAGAGTAATTTACTATCCGACTACTAAACAAACAGATAGACAAACAGACAGACAGACAGACAGACAGACAGTTAGACATTTTCATTTACTTGTTTGTTATGGGATAGTTTTTCATTGTTTAGCCTTTGCTTCGTTATGCTATACACATTTATTTATATTTCTATTCTACACAAGATACTCTTTCCGATTTCTTAGTTTACTTGCAATCTAATGCAATGCATTTATTAATATTTAATGCTTTAATACGCCACCTCTCCTCTCATAGAGCCTAATATTTCCATTAGCCTTTTTTATCAGTCTCTATGGTCTTATGGTATCCAGGAAATTCTTATGAAATCTCGTATGTGTTATATAATCAGTTTCATTTCACCTACTGTTGTCCTAGTTTTTCTGTTTATTTGAAGAGCAAATAAAAATAAAAAAAAACAATTCTTTTTTTTTTTTTTGTTTTTACGTTTAAGTCAGAATTTATTCTAAAATCCTTTCTAAGCTGCAGAGAGTTTTGATTGATTTTATTTTCATTTTTCTTGTCACTCTTTTATTTTTTTTTTATTTTTTTTTTTTATTTTTTCACTTATCACAGATAAAACAAACTCGACAATGGAAATGAAAACTTGAAGAGAGATAGATAGAGAGAGAGAGAGGGAGAGAGAGAGAGAGAGAGAAAGAGAGAGAGAGAGAGAGAGAGAGAAGAAAATATAATAACACTTTTACATTACTTACCGGAAATGCCATCATACGTCCACCACTCTTCCCAGCTAACTGCAGAAACAACTGAAAAAAGGGAAAAGAAAAATTAAAGATTTACAATCGCATATTCAAGGGCATTTCCTTTACACTTGTCTTTATTTTAATTGCGACAAAGGATGATTTAAAACTATTAATTAAGCAATTAATTTAATGTAAATCTTTATCAATGATTTAAGTTTATCCTGCTCTCTTCAACTTTCATTAAAACAAAATTTAATTATATGGTTTTTTATCGCCATCATTATCTTCGACATTGTCATGGAATGACATGATGATAAACGCAGATGCAAACATTTTAACCCATTGTACTTTTTATATGCATACATCAATTGCCGTAAAAGAGTACAATTTAGTTTATGCGAATGTACACAAAACAGCGAAGGACTTGAGACCGTCTAGCCTCTTATTATACCGACCGATTTAGAATCACTTCTTAAATTTATCTAAGCTAATTATGTCTCGTCTATGCGTCTGACCATCTATACTTGTGCGTGTGTGCGTTCAATTTTAGTTCACAATAATTCGGACATGAACACTTTTTTGATCACTTTCTATATAACAGATTCTTTTGAAATTTAGTCATTATACGCATAAGTGTATTCAGCGATTAGTACGGGCTATTTAATAGCGAGGTGTGGCCCACTATATTGGTTTTACTTGTTAAATGTGTATTTTATCCAACTTTCGAACCATTTTTTGCATCCTCTACGTGGAACACTGTAAATAAGTACATTTCGTTAAAGCAATCCTTCTGTTCTTTAGTAAATTATTTTACGGTTAAATCTATTGTAAAATATTTTCTACAATATTATGCAAAAGATTCAAAAGATCAAATCCTCTTAATTGCAGCTTAAAATGTGAGCACTTTTCAGGTTAGATTGTGACATTGTTTCGAACTTGCAAAGGAAACCCAAAGTTTATATTAATCTGGAGGAAAACACTAATGCGATGCGAACACTATCTTTTTTGATTTTCGATATAGCGTCAGTAGGTGGAATAAAAGTTTCCCTTTTACGATTTTGACCATCGTCCAGCCATGACTATTAGTCGCAAGTGTAAAGTGATGTTCACTTGTTTCGTCCATAGTTGCGCTTGATTTCGCCCCATTTCTTTACCCATTGTGTTGCTCGCCCTTGCAGCTCGTACGACCTCGTTTAAACTCTGCCGCCTAATAATAATTTATTGACGCAAATCAAATTTAAGATATATTAGATAAAACACGTAAACAAAGAGGAAGTTTTACTTAAAAATATATTCGTTTTAATTTATATCTTAGATGACGCGGTATGCAGCATTATATGAATCAGTTGTTAATTACTTAAATTATTTGAATTTTGTTTATGTATATCAGATTTCCCCATACAGATCGATATGGTTTGTTACGTTCTTCAAGTCAAGTTTAGTTCAAGTTAACAGTCGTAAAGATAATCAGAATCGTAACGGCTGGATATATATATATATAAATATATATATATATATAGACTCAGGCAAGGCTAAAAGGTAAGGTCAGCTTCATAGCATATATATTTTTCAAAAATTATGAATTTCTCCTTCTCTCTAATGCTATAGAAAATAATATGATCTATATGCTTACTGTTCATTCTTGTTTAGTTCTAATGCTGTTTTTAGTAAGAATCGTATTGATTTTTAATATTAAAGCATTCATATTTTTGGTAATAGTACGTGTACAGGAATGTTTGTCTACATTTTTAATGCAATTTCCATCTATCCACTACACGTACTTCTCCTTGAGCATATTTAGTTTTGTTTGTTGTCGTTGTTATCAACAACCTTGGCCCTGTCTCTTTTACTACATATATATCTATATATATATATATATAGTATATCTATATATATATATATATATCTATATATATATTTCCTGTTACGACGAGTCCTTATACATTTTCGTCTATTTATAGTTTAGTGCATGAGTCTACCTTATATGGCTTTTTCCCTTATGTATTCATATGTATGTGTAGGGTTGGTGTTTATTTGTGCTTATATACTTTATATTTTGGTAATGGCTTTCTTCGTTTTTTCTTTTTTAAATATTTTTAGAGAAATTTTTACAGAAGGGATACGAATTTTATACAATACTCGGAAAGTAATGTTAAGCCATAAGCGATGATTGAAATTAATGGTTTTATATGTAGATACCTTAACTGCGCATAAGACTGCACACAGAGAGACACAAAACACTTTCTGGGTGGAATGGCTTTTTTTATTAGACATTTATGTATATATGAGCGAATGTTACAGCTTACCTTAAATGAGAAGGCAACTACAAATGTAAATTTAATTTCGTTACAGTATACTTTACAAGGTCGTCAGGGTTTAACTAAAAGATTAAAAATAAGGAATAAAAACACAACAAAAAAAAAAAAAAATAAAGAAAAGAAAACCAACAAGACAGCCAACCATATTATTTTCGACTCGACCTGAATTTTTTGTAGCCAGCCCATTGCTCGCTCCTTTCTTCTGTTCTTATTTCTCGTTCCTTGAATACAAACAGTAACGTATTATATCAAGAAAATGTAAATCTTTCACTTCCTCACTCTATATGGACGTTTTGGCCGCATGCATTACCTGCCACTGTTATAATTATTTTATAAATACTAAGCATGGCACGGGTTACCTGCCGAACAGCGAACATCTTAAAAACGTGACGTGAGACGTTTTGACCAAAGCGATAATATTCGCGTCTTGATGACAAACTGGCGAACTGGCGAACATGAAATGGACAAACCAGAAACGATAGGGTACATCTAAGTCAAGGAAAGATTCCTTTTTCTATTTCTATGATCTTATACCTTGAAAGCATTTGCTAAATATACTTTACTCCTTTGAATTGCGGCACCGCTCAAAGCTAGCTCAAAGTATACTTTCCCCAGAGTATAGTGTTTACATATCTTTGCGGAAAAACTGAAGTGAGACATCCACATATGTAGTTACGTATACGATGAGAGAGGAGCGGGCAGCTTTTAATTTTTAGCTCCTTGCTAATCATGGACGAACCTGTGAACCAATGAACACTATGAACTCTAAATGAAAGCACAGAGGGGAGACAATCCACGAAAGAATTTGACTTATTTTTAAAGAATGTGAACGAAACAATTTTTCGTGTATGCAAAACTTTTCCAAAAAAGTTTCGTTTTTTTAATAATAATTTTATTAGTGTGACAACAGACAATCTGATATATGAGATATGTTTAGTAAACCTAATAACATTGCCTTCAAAAAGTAAGCAAAATTTATTATTATTCACGGTCCATATATCAATTTAAAAAAATTGAAATAATCCATCCAATCAATAATAAAGAACGAGATGTACTTGTTTCGCTTGTCCGTCGGACTTGCCCAATAACAATTTGCGCTTTATTCGGAAGACAACGCAATATCCAAACGGCTGAAAAGATGCTTTGTAGATCTGAAATTCAGGAACGATTCAAAAATGAAGCGAATATTTTGCTAAAGCTAAAGCTAAATCGAAAACTTTACTCAGTTTATGACAACATACTAACATGGCATGGGGTCATCGAATGAGTGTTTTTTTTTTTTTTTTCCCCCTAATTTCTAAGCAAGACGAAAATGCAACAGATGTCAACATCAATGGGTCCTTTATTTTAGATACCGGTTCATAACGTTTTTATTTCAAACTGATTTCATCTAAATGATCGCCTCTGAGTTTGTGTAAAAATTCAATCCTTGAAATCCAAGAATCTTGGTGAATAAGATGATTGAGAGTTCGTAGTATATTGAAGCAAGCCAGTGCTCCTGCAGAACCTCTAAATAAAAAAAAACTATATCCCAATGGTCTTTGGGTTTACGCGATCGTTAAACTGTTCTCCCAATAATGTTAATTTTGTCACAAAATGTATGGCATGTTGCAACATTTTGTTGGCGTCAAATATCGTCCAAGTTGAAATTATTTAATCTTTGCCACAAAAAATCAGTTATCATGTCTCTATAGTGTTCCCCATTGATCGTAACTGCAATCCCAAAAATTATGTTTTCAATTCCCAAATCGGGCCTAAAAGTTACTTTTATACACATAAAAGTCCTTTAGTAACATCAGATCTATTTTGTTGTGGTGGCAGTCCTTATTTACCATTAGCCATTTAAATAACTATGTGCTACATTGCACATGCACGACACCGAAAGAAAGTAGCCGTGGATTCATTGTTTTTTTTTTTTTTTTTTTTTTTTTTTTTGCGATTTTGACAATTTTTATACGCTACACAATTATGTAGGTCCTGTATACCATAAATAAAAGCAAGGGCCAAACAATATATTCAGGAAAAATTTGATCCAAATTTTAATCAAAAATTTGTTTAGTTATGTTTAGATGCCCCTATGTATAGTTTTGAAATTAGAAGTTGAAACGTGCGGGTCGGGCTTAAGTGTTAAAAACATCTATGCATATATCCATGAGACGCAAAGATTTCCAGCTATTTCTCTAATGCTTTATCCATTTACCGTTATTTGCGATTTTTTTCCTTACTTCATCGTCTCTCTTATCACGATTTTAAGTTAAAAGGCATCTCTATAAAGTACACATGCTCATGTCTATGACAGAAAAAAATCTCCAATTTTCTGCATTTTTTCAAAACATTCATAATGTCTTAAGTACGTCTGCATTAGAAATTTCCGACAATCTTATGTCAAAGTAAATTTACTTACGAAAAAGGAAAGTCTTCTTATTACTATGCCACGAGCTAATAGTTCGCGCAATATTACCCTCAATTAGAGGGCTTTTAATGAGTCATGAACCTTATATTCCAATATCCACAATTGAAGAGGTGAACGGATCTACTTAGAACGTTGAGTAAATAAAAGGCTTACATTGTTTCAATGCTATAAAGAAACAACAAAATTAATATGCCATTCGTGTCTGACGATGCCTTAAATGGCTGCAGCATCCTGACAAAGAAAGGCATGAATGTTTTCACAAGACATACTTCTTTACTGCGTCCTTTTCTTGATTGCTCTTAGCACCCGATTGCGCCAACTACATAGAAACG